TTTTGCAAAGCAAAACAGAAATCTATTTCTTCTTTCATACACACCTCGGTCCCATTTCATTTCATCCCATATTCCATGCACTTATTTACCACTAAGAAAACTCTCTTTTCTACATCCGGTAGAATATCTATTATTCGTTAAGACACTTAAGCAAATTATTCAAAAGATGAAGTATGAGCACAATCCCCTGAGCATAGCCCCTGAGAAATTGTCTTTTTATTTCAGGGTATAAGAGCAATGTTTAGTTGACAGTCTTTATAGTATCTTTAGAGCAATAATATAGTCAAATGTACAGAAAGATGGGTGATAAACATTTAAAACTTTAATCCTCTATTTATTTGGAAATAAGTCTTACTGATATCAACAGAGTTTCTTTTTGAACAGATATATATAACATTGCTTCTCTAATAAAACTATTTTCACGATGTTTCTATCCTTGTTTAAACTATTGTTCTTGTTGGATATTTTGGCTTTTATTTTAATGACAGAAACTACCCTTTTTCTTTTCTATTTCTTCATAGCAGACAATGTGGTCTACTCTTTTAATTATCCTCCAGATAATGTGGGGTTATCATTCTTATCATTCTCAGCCAGCATGACTAGCAACCACGATGATTGTGAATTTCAGGCCAGTGATTTAGTTATGACTACTCTGGTTAATGAACCACTTCTAGACACCATTTCATTCCATTTCAACTCACTTGCTTCTGTTCTGAAGACAGAAAAAGAATACAATGGCTTGCCAGCAGCCCCCTGGAAATGGTTAGTGGCAGCACTAGATAAACCATAATAAATAAATATTCAAACTGTTATGAATTAAAACTTGGACTAGGTGGATCTGCATATGGTATTGTTTTGTTCTTCTCATACATCATTCATTTAATTCTAGGATATCATGGTCTCATCTGAGATTACTGTTCAAGTAATCTCTCTCCAAGCATTCTGTGCCAGATGAGTCAGGCCTTAGTTCAGGACCTAGGCCAGAATCTGGTTCTAACAACTGGAGATTCTCTGCCCAGGACACTAATTTAAACTCACCAGGGGAATGTGAGGGTGATCTGGCTGCCACATCTGTTACTCTATTGATCATCAGGGTTATTCTGAGTTAAGTTAAGGCAGATAGAAGTTAAAGCATTTGGTTAGAAATAAATAAATGTTCTTAGTTGAAGTCCTTTATGTCATAACACCTGATTAGCTGAGAGACCACCTGTGTCTGACAGTTTTTCCCTACTCTGTACAATTGAGCAAAATGGGCAAGCTCTCATTCCTTTGATTAAACAATGCCATCTGTTGGGATTTAGGAAATGTGTATTTTTTGTTTGTTTCAGCACCTATTTTTGGTGACATCTCCCAAGATCTATATGGCTCCCATTCTGATAATATTCAACAAGCCTTTGAAAATCTGGCTGTTTTCCAGGGAGAGGGATAGGATGGTGTTAAATACTTCATTTGGTGCGAATGATGAAGACACATGGCAATGATGAACAAACACTTTATTCTCCTTCTACAACAACCAAGCAAAAGCAAAAGGCACGCAGGTCTTTTTATATGGGCAGAAGCCCGGACAGTGTCAACCAATAGGAACAGAATGTTTTTGTACCTTGCACATGCGCCCAAGGCTGGTGCCACTCTATCTGGTACCGGGCAGCTTTTGGAATGCCTGGGACCAATGCAACGTCCCGAGCCTCCTTTTGCAGGCTCAGGACACAACAAATGGGTTCTGACACACTTATGGAATCTTATCTACATGATTAATTTTTTTTCCTGACATATATGGTTTGTGTTTTTTTACTGTTTTCATTATCTTTTATGTTACCTGAAATCTCTGTGCAGCTTTCCGAACCCTGCCAAAATTTGTGTCTGAATTGAAATGTTGAATTATTGAATACAGGTATTCACATTCTAGTTTATTTTTGTAGCCTTTGACAGACTACTTAAAGAGTATATGTGGTTCTTAACACCCAAAACTGATGAATAGCATTTAGCTTGTATATGTTACTTTATCACAGTACAGAAATCACTCAACTTATTATATTTCAAATATATTAATAAATTAAAGAGCTGCTCCTTAATTTGCTTCTTTCCCCATGTGCTTATTATTTACTCTTTGGACCCTGTGAGAAGCAAATGTCCTCCTCTCCCTTAGCTTGGAGAAAAAGAAGGGTGGAGAAGAAAGCAAATATGTTTACATAGATCAGAAATGAATACACAGAGAGTTTTATGATACATACTTTTATGTATACCATTTCTGTTTGGCAAGGCAGTGATGTGTAGAACTGGATTGGAATGTGTTGACCTCATTCAATTAAACATGTGTATACTTAATAAGCAGGCCCAGTTGATTAGCAAAAACAATCACTCCGTATGACCTTTGTTGTAGGTGATAAATGGAGATTGAAGGGCATCTATTCATCTCATCTGCTATGTCAGGGAGGTACTCATCCCAGGCCTAATACGCTGCCATCATTCTAATCAGAGATAAGAACATGGAAGCTTCTGACAGGAGAAATCATGTTTCAATTTTATATTAACATAATTCATTTGTACAATTCTGTGTAACCCTTCCCAGGTTGAGTGGATGGAACATGTATTGCTTCTCTAAACAAGAGACAGTATTATTGTTTACTTACACTGCATTTCATTTTTATTCATCCTATTTCAATAGCAATATTTAAAATTTTGCAATGTTCATTAATTTGTATACAGTAAATTAATTTATATAAATTAGAATCCCAATAATACCTAGCTACAAGACTGAACTATGCAATTTGAAATCCCCAGTTTAAATTTTAGCTCTATCAGAAAGTACTTTCATAGTTTAAGACTCATCACTAGTTCGAAAGCACAGGTTATCAAAATTTGCCTTAGTCCTCCCTTTCTCATTATATATCATTTAGACCCTCCTTCTTATCTCTGTTTTCCTTTTTAGTTTTTAGTTTTCTTTTTTTACAGAAGGCCAATTTAGGATCAGAGAAAGAAAAGAAAAGAAAAGAAAAGAAAAGAAAGAAAGAAAGAAAGAAAGAAAGAAAGAAAGAAAGAAAGAAAGAAAGAAAGAGAAAGGAAGAAGTCCAAACCAATGAAAATAATACTGGAAGTTGGAATGCCTGCCTGCAAGGTGTCCAAATTCTTAAATCTATCAACATGGAGCATAGTAATACTGACTTACCTTGTAGGATTGTCCTACAGATAGTTCAAGAACCTAATGTTTTAGGCAAGATAGTCTTCAATAAGGTTGAGTTAGAATGGCATGCTCTGGATCTTTGTGAATTAAACTCTTCTTGGTGATCACCCCTATCCTATGGAATGACATCCCTCTCCCCCGAGATCTATACTGCTCCCACCTTACTGGCTTTTTGCGAACTGCTCCAATCCTGGTGTTCTCCCAGATCTTGGAATAGGATGGTGGTTTAGCTCCTTAGATTTTGGACAATTTTTAAATTTTTCTTTGGGTTGTGCAGTATTGTAGAGTAAGTCTTCCAACCAATTGTATTCCCTTTCTTTGAAATGTTGCTTTCTTTTTTGTAAGCCACCTAAAGTCATGGTAGCAGACTTGAAACTGAATTAAATAAGTAAATAAAGGAAAATAAGCCCTTCCTTGCCAGCTGATAAATGGACATATATCCAGGGAAGGATCATTGTATTTCTAACACATGTCAGTTTTACAGGTATTTGTGTCATTCATTTCCACTTTCAGATTTATAATGTGATTTTTAAAGTTTGTATTAAAATCCATATAAATATGTATTTCCAAATATGTAAGGGTTTTTTTTAGCTACGACTTATGGAGGGTTTGTAGTGTTCTCAGTAAAAAGGCATTTTATTTACTTATTTAAAACATTTACATAGCTGCCCATCTATAACCAACTCTGGGTGGTCCCCAATCAAAAATTAAAACAGCAAACAAAGCTATATTTTGCAGCTATCCTGCCTTGCCTTCTCATTACTAGAGTCTAGTCCATAATTAGGTACATAATTGAAATAAATGACTCCTAAGCATGTCTATTTCTGTGCTGTCTTTACATGCGCCTATCTTTTCACCCATGCTAGCCTGAGTCTTAGCAACAATAATGCAATAAGAAGAATCCTAAAGAACTATAGCAATTATTAAGTTGTGCTCAGCTTGTGAATTTATTTGTAAATACTAAAAAAAATTAATTTGTTACACCTTTCAGAGAAAAACAAATTGAAGGACGTTTTGTGCCCAGGAAAATATTTCCTACAAGAAAACTTGGGAGGAGTAAAATAACTTGGTCAGTTTCACTTATCAGAGTAAGCCAAAGATGTACAAAATGAAGCCCATCAGCTTGCCTGGAAGTTCTATGTGGCCCCCCAAAGCTTCCCCCCAGACTCTGTTGCCCACTAGGAAGCTCTGATTTGATCTAGCCCAGGTATCTCTTTTGTGTATGAAGCATACATTGTATGTCTGCAACTATGGGAGAATACATTTTATTTTCAGCCTGGGAGTCAGTTGAGATGTGAGGAGAAGTCTTTATTCAACTAAATTGTAGCAGAATTAATATTAAATCAATTTGATATTTTCCACCATCTCTTTAAAATCTTTTTATGTGGCTCTGGTTTCTTCCAATCTGTAACCTTGATATACCCTCAAAGACATGGTTGGATCTAAGCCTAACAAAAAAATGGGCACTGTTGGGTCATTGGTTTAGTTTGGGCTTAGCATGTCAAGTGAATCTAACTGCTTTAAGAAAGCCATGGCTTGCAATATTCTAAGCTATAATATATTCCACAAATGTCTTTTTATTCACAGTACATGGCTAACAGTTTTATGAGATGCATGAACAGGATTAAATCATGCTTTGTTTTAATCCAGAAACAGATAGAATTAGAAGAGAAAATGCCTTCTGGAACTATTAGAATTCTTTCCTTAAAATATATACTCAAAAAATATATCCTGGCTCTAGACATTTCCATACATCTTGTCAAAGTGTTTTAAATCTAGAGCTGCTTTCATGTTTTTTCAGTGCCTGAAAATCAGGAATATGTTCCTGTTACATAACTAGGAATGCCTTGGAAAGACGCCCTGGCTATAAGCTTTTTGCATCATGATTATTTTAGTGGACATTTGAGTTCGGATTCCCAGCATAAGCTTAAAAGCTTTTTCATAAATATTCCATGGCATTTTCTAGTCTTTAATGTGCCAGTTACAGAGGAAGCTGTTTGAAGGGGAGGGATGTCAACAAATTTATCCACCAATAGCGTGCTCTTTTGGCACAAAAGCACATTCTTATCTTTACATCCCATAATGAGAAGGCAGAGCCAGAATATGTTGCTCTAAACTCTTCGGGTGGGTAAATACACTGTCGGGAAGAAGAAAGAGAAGAAGAACAAGAACAAGAAGGGGGGCGAGAGAGAGGGAGAGAGAGCAGTTGGTATTTTCTTAACTTCTGATCTACTTGCCCGGATGACGTAACGAGTTCTGTATTTATCCTCCTGCGGCTTCTCTAAGCAGAATTAAAGGAAACTTCTTTTCGCATGATGTCAGACTGCGAGGGAATGGCTGTGGGTAGGTGCTTGATTTCTATTTACCACACTGTCCTCGTTCACATTCTCAGCTTGCAAAAGCAATACATAGGAAACTGGCCTGGTTCTTAAGTAGACATCTAATCCTCTCACTGTGGGAGAACAAGAAGGTATGAGAGTTTGGAGAGGATTTTCTATTTCAAAGCCAGTTTACATCCTGCAGAGCTTTTGCACAGCCCTAACAGGAAAAATATTGGGGAAGTGACCTGTTCTATTTTCTGTTAGTTTAAAGTTTTGAATAATAAATGTTATGTGTTTATTTGGCTTGTAAAAATAATTAACTTCTGTGCTGAGGGATTAGGCAAGGGGGATTAATAGTGTGTGGAAAAATGGTGACAGCATACAGGGTGACTAATACCTTAGCCGTGGTAATATCCAGATTTGTATTCAGGATCACCTTGGAAGGCACTGTCTGGAACTGGGACCAGAAATAGCAGCCTGCTGTAATATATTCCTGTCATTTCCTAACTGCCAAAGATTGCAGAAAAGGGAATGAAAAGGAAACAGGGATTTTTGCTGAAAGATGGAAGTACACTTTAGTTTGAACTTGAGTTCTTAGCACAGTATATCTAAGCATATTCTTTTATTATTAGAAGGCTATGCCAATCTCAGCAACACACCATAGAAATTGGCTGAAATAGATGTTCACAAACTTCTGAACCCTCACTATAAACACTGCACTGTATGGTTTCTATTCCAAAAAGGAAATTGCACTAAAGAAATCCAGTCCAACTAAATGCTGAGCTGTTCCATTTTGTGATATAAAACAGCTCATTTGAAAATAACTATAGATCTAGAAGATCATAACTTTAACCTTTTCAGTACTGTATAAAGTAATTCTGAGCAATCATGGAATCATTTTATTTCCTGGGCATGTGATGATGTCCATTATGGTATTTTAGAATTCAAATTGTTTTTCACTAGTGATTTGCAGCACCTTCTACTGTCATCCTACCATCCTACCAATATAATGGCAGTCTTTATTGCTCTGATTGTGTCACAGCAAAATTAATGATTGGTAATGCTATAAATCAGTAGAACAAATAGCCAGAGACTATTGAGTTGATGCTAGGCCACCAAATATCTTCCATTATAAAGAATTAAGAGAATGAAGACTTGAAAACCTATTTATTCATAATATTAAATGCATTCTCATTTCTGTTATCTTCCACTACTCAAATCCTTGTTAAAGATTTACTTATTCTATAGCAAGGTAGATCCAGAGAGAGAATAAACCTTACATAATGATAAGGAAAAAATAGAAGGCTAAAATAACAGATAACATAACCGATAAATGAGCAGATGCAGTGACTGTTTTTAAAAGTGAACTAAATGGCCAAATAGATAATATTTCAATGAAGTGACTCAGAATTCTTGCATCCAGCATCTACAGATATTTTAAAATTTATATTTAATGAAAATGCTTTTCATTGGTTTGTTTATATCAAGTGTTTTTAGACTGGAAATTGAGGAATTATTAGTACTATTACTAACTTGCAAAACTTTGTTCTATGCTTCAATTGTATCTTATTTATCATTCTCAAAGTATAAGTGTGCCCTAAAGGTTTGCCAAGAACTGAGTGATTGTGCTATGCGTGTGATACATGCAGCAATAAGTTTTGTTTGAGCAGTTTTTATATTCCAAATATGTATTTCTGCATCTCAGAACTCATCCAGTTCTAACTTCTGTGTTGTATGCATTAGATTAGAGGAGTAAAGTGGAAAAGAGAGATTGTTGCCTGGTTTATTCCAGAGCTAGTGGTTAGAAGCTGGAAGCATATTTGCTTAAGCAGAGATGAGTCATATCAGGGAAGTGGGAGAAGGCAGGAAGGTGGGAGCTACAGTAAATGAGAGAAACAGCATTTACAATGAATGTAATTCAAATTAATGCCATAATGACTACACATGTGACGCCTTTAAAAAAAAAGGCTTAAGATACAGCATTTTGCAACTATTGCTAAGGAAAATAACGTTTTTGCCTTACTGTGGCAATAACTGTATTACAAACATATAATCATTTGTAGTTCTATTGATGTCAATGAATATTTGCCTCCAAAGACTAATAATAACTTTTGGGTGCAGTGATTTTATGCTGGGAAAAGCATAAGGGATTAAAAACGATAAAAACAACCTTCTTCACATTCGTCATAGTCTGATTCTGCTACAGCCTCCCCACTTCATGTCTTGACACTAGATATCTAAAAGTATTTAAATAAATACATGAATTGCTTTAATGCAATTATGCATAGTTTGATTCAGAGCATTACTATACATGGCTTCAGATATAGGAAATAAGTTAAGTTCCCTACTAGTTAATTGAGTCTAACTCGCTGCTTTTATTTACATTTCTGTCTTTTTCCTCCTAAAAATGGAATAGTTTGGCAAATGTAAGTTGTTTGCACAAAATTTTTCTTTACAAAATCCAGATTCTGGTCCAATGAACAGCACCCAGAAACACTGCTGAGAAATTGGCTTTAAATCCATACAGTATCAGGTATAAGCCATAATATTCATAATGTGCATTTTGATACTGGATGCTTATTGAAGCTTGATACACAGAATTGTTTTGTTAGTCAAGATGACTCCCCCAGGTCTAATTCTTTAATTCTGACCATGTCTGGATCCACACAGTATGTGGATGGTTATTTATGGCTCAGATTATTGTGTAAAGTCAATTGGGTTAATTTTGTAAAACATGGTTCAATTAGTCATGATATATCATTTTGTGTAAACAAAGTTAATAAGATTTTTGTAAGTTGGGTTTTTAGTCCTAATGCAATAAAATCTAACACAAGGCAGTTGATAAACGATATCATTTTCTCTAGCATGTGAGGAAAGTATAGATGATGTCTGGATATTATTCACTTTTTCTATTATTCAAAAGGAAAGAGAGAATGAGATCTCATGTGGATCAGGAAATCCATCTGTGCTGGAAACTGAGCTTGAAAAAAGAAGCAGAGAGATAATGTTGTTCTTTGCAGGAAATCCCAAGTCATTATGTATTCCTCTGGAAATCTAATGGAGAACAGGAATCTTTCATCAAGCTAATTCTGTAAATCCTCATTTTTTCCCTCAACCTAGTATAGTTGTGTAAATACCAGAAAATCAGGTTGTGGACATGTTTATATGTATGTATTGTATTGTACTCATACAGTGATAAGAATAATGCATTTCCTGACTTTTGGAACACAACTGCTTTTGAATTTTGTAGCCAAGATTTGACATGAAAAACTGCTTGTGATATTCGTTTTGCAGACTAAGAAATATTGTCTGCTCCAAATCTCCAAAGCAATTTTATTTTTTCCATCAGCCACCTCATCAACTCCTTGACTTTTTTGACCTTGCCCCAACAATATTTGTAAATCTGCAAAACGAACAAAGAGACATTAAAGGTAGTCTTCAACTTACAATCACAACTGAGCCCAAAATTTCTGTTGCTAACTGAGACAGTTATTAAGTGAATTTTGCCCCATTTTATAAACAACTTTTTTGCCACAGTTGTTGTGAATCATTACAGTTGTAAATTAGTAAGAGATTATTAAATGAATCTAGCTTCCCCTTTGATGTTGCTTGTCAGAAGTTCACAAAAGTTGATCACATGACCCTGGGACACTGCAACCGGCATAAATATGAACCAGTTGCCAGGCATCCAAATTTTGATTACGTGACCACGGGGATGCTGCAATGGTCCTAAGTGTGAAAAACAGTCATAAGTCACTTTTTTCAGTGCAATTGTAAGTTCAAATGGCCACTAAACAAACGGTTACAAGTCAATTGTACACCAAATGAAATTACAGCAATTATTTGATAAAAATATATTGGTTAGCCCACATAATTCCTAAACTTTTACAGCAGAATGAGAATTGGCACAAAATCCCACAGAAATAAAAGTAAACAAAGCTATATCTCTATGAAATTGTTTTATATAGAGATGATAGGCTAGCCCAATGTTTCTCAACCTCAGCAATTTTAAGAGATGTTGACTTTAACTCCTGGGATTTCTCAGCCAGCTATTTCTAATGCTGACTGAGGAATTCTGAATGAAAAGCAGAAAGTCTTAAAGTTGCTGAGGTGAACTAGACCATACATGCAATGCATTCTAAGCAGACTTTATTGGCCTTTATGCTTTTACCCCTTCTTTAGAGATTCCCCAGCATCCTTAACATCCTATTTTCAAGACTGGGGTTTTCTGAAATAGCCTTCCTATAGTCTTAGATCCAGCCAGCTAGTAACTGAGTTGGGATCACTGCAGTCCAACTTATTTCAGCTATACAATGCTCACTTTTTTGGGTTTGCACATGTCACTTGTCAAGTTTACATATATATTTTCTGGCCCAAACTTTCAACGAATTCATGAATAAGAAAAAAAGAAATCAAAGCTTAAATAGGTACCCTCAGTTTTCCCCTTTCTCCATCTTTCTTCTGCTCACCTTTGCCATGTATTTATCTTTACATATTTGTTTGTTGATTTGCTGCTTTTCAAAACAACCACCAGAACAGGCTGCTATCTGCGTAGTTATGATGGGTTGATTAGTTTTCAAAAGTATAGGAAATTTGGCTGAGGAGTCAGAAGCATGGGTTCGCAAGCTGTGCAATGGACTATCTTTCTGTTGTTGAGTGTGAGAGATGCTGCTGCCACATTGATGGTAATTGGAAGTCAGAAGTGATGAGGACAAAGGAGAAGAGTAGTGTAATTGTGACAGGACTTGGGAAGATTTAAGCATGAAGCAGATAGCAAAGGTAGTCCTTGAGATATGGCAACAATTGAGCCAAAATTTATGTTGCTAAGTGAGCCATTTGTTAAGTGAGTTTTATAATCTTTCTTGCCACAGTTGTTAAGTGAACCCCTGCAGTTACTAAGTTAATAACACAGTTGCTAAATGAACCTGGCTTCCCCATTGACTTTGTTTGTCAGAAGGTCACAAAAGGTGATCACATGACCTCAGGATACTGCAACTGTCATAAATATGAACTCGTTGCCAAGCAACTGAATTTTAATCATGTGACCAAGGGGATGTTGCAACAGTCGTAAGTGTGAAAAATGGTCCTAAGTCATTTTTTAAAAAAATCTTGTGTAACTTGTAGTAAGTCAAGGACTACTTGTAGTGTGGCAGAGAAAAGATGCTATTTATGATTTTACAGCAGCCACTGCTTTCCTGACAAGGATATGTGAGCAACAAAGACATGTAAAGAAATGATGCAGAGTCTTTTCCAGCAATGAAGGAATTCCTTCCTTATATAGTAAAGAACTTAGCACTATCTAGCTGCAGTGCAATGTCAAAACCTATGGTAAAAAGTTGTTTTTTTCCTTCCATTTAGTCATGTCCAATTCTTGGAGATTGCCTGAACAAATTCCTGCATTTCTCTTGGCAAGGTTTCTCAGAAGTGGTTTGCCATTGCGTCTTTCTTGGGGCTGAGAGAAAGTGACTGGCCCAAGGTCACCCAGCTGGCTTTGTGCCTAAAGTGGAATTAGAACTCATGGTCTCCTGTTTTGCAGTCTGATTCCTTAACTACTATACCAAACTGCTCTATAAAAACTTGACATGTTAATAAATTCATGGAGTTGTAGTTTTATGCAGTAGTTAGAATAACCACCATAATTTCAGTGCCATTTATAGTCTATACAAGGGAGGTATTTGAACAGCTGCACAATTGTTCTTGTTGGGTGGAGTGGGAGTAGAATAAAGACTGGATGGGTGGAGAACTACTGTCCACAACCTGTTTGCGAGTCAATAAGTAGACACTAGCTGTTAATATTTCTTCTTCTATAAGAAACTTTAATTATATATAATTCTTTAGATTTTAGCAGGCAGCTTCTCAGTAGAAAGCATTGACTTGCTTTCTTTCAGTTGAATGGAAAATTAAATATGTGGGGAAATGAGATGGCAAGAATGCATCCTGGGATTTCAAGCAAGTATAGTCAGAAGAAGAAACGCTAAATATTCTGACATCAGTATAAAAAAAATAAACAAGTAACTAAGGCAGCAATCCTATAGGGCCCAGGAAAGTAAGGCAGAAGTAGGCAATTTTCACACACATACCAATTCTACAAAAAAGTACATAGTGCTTTTCTCCCCCATGTTGGTGTTCTGGTATCAGCAAAGGGGAGAATAGACTGGGGTAGATCACAAGGAGCTCTGGAGCTTCCTAATCCTCCAAATCTCATCAGAAGGGGGATTATTGTAAATCAGTCTTTGAACTACTTTGAACCCCTGTTACTGCTTGCAATGGGAGTCTTTACTAACCTGCTTTCTATTGACAGATAGCAGGAAGACTGCTAGCATTAATAATGGCTCCATCAGGGCAAGGAGGATTGCTCTGCAAGAACTGAATGCAAGTTAGAAAATCCATCATGTAAATATAGTAAAGCAGTATACTTATAGTAAATTGACATGAATGTTGTAACCTTACAAGAAACCCCAAGTGCCATCATACAAATTTAGGTATGCGATATCCTAGTACCTCTGTCAGAAACCAGCTTGGATAAATAGCAGAAATTTCCTTGGAAGATGGTTTTAAGTCTAGAGCCTCGGTGGCACATTGGTTAGAATGCAGTACTACAGGCAAATTCTGCCCACTGCCTGGAGTTCGATTGTGATGGGCTCAAGGTTGATTCAGCCTTCCATCCTTCCAAGGTCAGTAAAATGAGGATCCAGACTGTTGTGGGCAATATGCTGACATTGTAAACTGTACAGAGAGTGCTGTAAAGCACTATGGAGTGGTATATAAGTGCTATTGCTAATGCTATTGCTATTGTTAAGTCTATGAAGTCAGAAGTACCAAGAACAGTGGAAGCATTTCTAAACAAATGAACATTTAGAGTACACACACACACACGCACACACACACATATAGACAGAGACACACAGAGACACCCACATACATACACACACATAGAGAAAATGATATAGCTGCTTTACTAAAGAAAAAAATATAGTATAGTCATTCTTGTTCTTATTATCAGCTCTTTAATCCTGAAATAAATCTGTGTAGTTGAATAAAAGGTTCAATGCTGTATCCTTCCTTTTTTTCTGCTATCCCAGAGTTGTTTGAGGGATTCAGGTTTTAGGAATTTTGATGATTGTGTTGTCTGAATTCATAAGATGATAAAAACTTAGTGATTCCCCATTTTCACACATACTAAATATACTGTTGCAATTCTTGATTTTTAAAAAACCAAGATGCGTTAAAAAGTGTATTTTGAGAAAAATATATTTTAAAACATTCATTTTGAAATGTTGCATTGTTTTTAAAACTAAGTAAATACATACATAGATATAATACTAAACCAATACACATTTGGAATATTTGCTCATTCCTAATATGGAGATATTTGTATCTGATTAGAAAAATAAATGAGAAGTCCCTTTGCCTGGCACATGGTTTAATAATTGTGTTTTTCTTCTGCTATTTTATTAATTAATATAGGGACAGATTGCATCACTTGAAATGGAATTGCAGTGCCACTCCTAGAAGTCATACTTGTAAGCACTTTCCCATTCAGTGGAATTTTAATTAATAAGCATACCTATATTTGTATTGCAAAATGTTCTACATTGTAATGGCAATTTCTAATAAATTGTAAAATGAGCTACTTTATTTGTTGTATTTGAAGAACATGGTTTATTAAAAATTGCCATTACAATGTACCATGAAAATGTATGCATGTGCAAATAAGGGAAAATTTTATTTACAGTTAGTTTGACTAACTTATAAATAGAATTGTTTTTAATAGTTTCAATTAAAATATGTCATAAAAAGTGAACCAATGAGAGAGGGAACACCATTATTTGTTGCTACCAAATAAAAATAATTATAAGTGCACACATATATTCTATATATCAATATGTTGTGTATATAAATTTGAAGTAGAATAAGTTAAAAGTAAATGATCTATTTAAAAAGTATGTGAACCTCCAGATCTTTGAACTACAGTTTATAACATTGGTTCCAACTGTCTATTATCCCAAATAGCAGGATACAAAATAACAGATTTAAGTTAAGGGGAAATGATTGAATGTTTGGAAAAAAATGTTAGGAAAAAAGTGGAAGGAAACAATAAAAGCAGTTCTGTAAACTGACACTTATCCAGAGCATCAGGGGAGTCTGCAAAGAGAGTACCAAAGAAGTTAGGATGGGGGCACAGCATGGATCTAAGCCCTGTTCCTTTTTATGTGCATGTAAAAAGGAGTGGGGTTTTGATTACACGGGTGTGGTCATCATCTTGACTTTTTGATTCCCCTAGAGATCCCACTGCAGAGAATAATTAATAATCTTCTAAGTAATTGTGCATAGGATAGATTATTTTAAACCAACTCCCTTTAACAAGAGAACTATGGTACAGTAGTTTTGTTAACTCTGTTTAGTGAGATATCCAATAGAATTGTCTACACCATCAGACAACTACAATCCCTTGAATACTTAGAAGAAATATGACAATCAAACTTAATTATTATTTGGATTTGTACTATAGATGTCTTTGTAATAGAAATACATACACAGTGCTCATTTCACCATTGTATACTAAGATGGACAGGGGAGGTAGGAAGAATAGAAATCTGATGCTTCTGAAATTCCTTTTTAAAAACATCACTGTTAACTCCTTTGTCTTGAAATCAATCCTGTTTCAGCAAATTGTGTACCCAAAGGGCAATCCAAGCAGCTTTTTAAATGCCCAGAATTAAATTGCCATCCCCTCCTGAGCAGTAAGCCTAGAGATGACGAAAAGTAGGTAAAAAGAGTCTCCAAGCAAAGGAATTTGCGTGTAGGACTAATATCCAAATGGGTTACAACAATGTAAATGGGGCCCTGCTGAGACTTATGAATGAGAGCAAGTCAGAAATAGGCTCTTGCTTTGCACAACACATTTTCACAAGCATCCCTACAATCCATGGGTATTGCAAGCAACAAAAGATCACAAAGCCTTTGAATTCACAGCATGCAGCCTACATCTGCTACAGGATAACGTTTGAGTTAAAAAAAAAAAAACCCAACAGCAACAAAGAAGAGGAAAGAAAATAGTTCTCTTTCTAAGCAAAACCATTCCGTAGTGTTGCACAATTGAAGATTTTCCCACTTGTTTTTTTGTGTTTTTTAAAAATAAAGCTTCAGGAGTTTTTTTATCTTTTCTCTGTCTCAGATCTTACAATCAGAAAAAAGATATTTTAAATAACTTGGATGTCGGAAAGCTGTGCCCTCATCAATGAAATGACCTTGTCTTTACTCAGAAAAGAAAGGAAATATGGGGCTAAAATCTGTTCTAGAAAGCTGTCATTTATTATTACAGAGGATAGTATTAGAAATGCATTGTACCCACTTCATCAGCAACATCATTAGTCAGACACAGGCAGGGGTGTCCCTTATTAAAATCATATTCAATAGGAATGATAAACGAGCACATTTGTTAGGATCATTTTGTGTTATATACACAATATAGAACTTCCTTTCACCTTTTTTCAGTTAGTCTAGAAAGAGTTTTACATAATTCAGAACCTGGTATACAATATTGTGAGCAGGGAATCCATTTCTACTTGTCAAAAATAGAAGAAAAATATCATAAACAAAGGAGAAGGAAACAAGGGAAGACAGTTTTGCATAAAACCTACATATGCTAGAAGGTATATTTAGGGAGAAAAGTGGGAGTATTATCATTTAACATTAATGTATTTTCCAGGTGATATATTGATAAAATTTAGATATAGTTCAGACTTCAACTGAACATTAAAAAAACCTGCTTGAAACATCTTGAAGTGTGACAATGGAGCCAAATATTTGGAATATGAGTAGATATTTTCTCATTGGAGTAATTTAAGCCAAATTTGGATAAGGGGGTGCATGGATCATCTACAGTCTGATTTCCATCATCAGTCTGATCATTAGAATGGATTTAGAAAATCAAGTAGAATCTATTTTTTTATTTATCTGGATTGAAGCATCATACAGTACTACTGTACAACTGTTTTGATTACTTTTTTTGATGACGAATTATTTACCTTGGTAAGTGATTTGGACTAATTGAAAGATCATGTCTCACTCTATCATCCCATAAATCTTGGTATGTAGACTTCAGCAAGGGAGAGGATAGCATTTATGATTCCTGTAATTACCATTAATTCTATCTTTAAATGCCTCCTCATAATCCATTTCTTTTTATATGTAGCAACTTTACATTTCTTTTCAAATACACCACCAGAGAAAGCAGCATCCTATGTTAGTTTTCTGCCCCACCAAAAAATTAATAAAAATACTTTGTTGGTTGATAAATCAGTTAGTATACCAAGAGGTCCCAAAGTCACCTCTTTTGGCAAGGTTACAAATATATTTTGCTTTCTTACAGTTTTAGCAATTTAGTCAAGAAATAATCCTTAGAACAGTATAAATTGATATTATTAATAAATCTGCAAGATATATATTTTAACTTAATATTCACTCCTTGCATCAGTTTTATCATCATGAAGAAAAATAATTAAAATAAAAATCAACTTAAATGTGCATTTTAGTCAGAAGCAGAAACTTAACCGAGGTGTTAGAAATAGCTAGTGTAGATGAGATCATGTTGTATATTCTATGTCCATATATTTTGTCTGGAATTTATTTGAGCTCTTTGGTTTCTCCAGTTACTCGGGAAACTATAGAGAATGAAGATTATGTTGAATGAGGAAACCTAGAATATTATAATTGGCTTAGTCTTTAAATGATAAAATTAAAAGTATTTATGGAACCTACATACCTGCATAGCAAGAAAAATGGGACAGCAGCTCAATAGAATAGGAGCAGGACCAATGGAATAGATATGTGTGTTTAGCATAACATGAAAATGAGTCTGCAAATAAGCAAAACATTAGGGCTGTGCAATGTTTTGGATCTGGCTAACAATAAGTGTTTCAGGATGCATGAGACCACAAATGCAATACTGTGTTTATTAAAGCAATTTTCTCTGTTTTAGGATCATACAGCTGCAATGAAAACTTCCCTGTGTCAGTTGCATGATTCTGGAACAGCTGCATGGCTGTTTTAATAAGATGCAGATTGGTGTTGCATTCATGTTCTCTCAAGTTTCTAAACATCTCTTCCAAACTGAATCTAAAGCACTGCACACCACTACAAAGGTCTGTGTATGCAGTTGGAAGCCATTGATTAAGAAGAAGAATAACTGTATCCATATCCAGAGAGAACAATTATATGTATTTTATATGCACAGACACTTCACAAGCTATTTAGACAAATTGAGATAATCATAAATGGGTAAGTTTTCCCTCCTTTGTGCACACTTTCAATATAACATATGTTGCAACTTCTAAATCCCATTCAAGAGAGACTATATACTTAAAACTTATCTGCATCAACATATTTTCCTAGAAATCAGAAGAGGACCAGTATGTAATATTAGTTTATGTCAAAAAGCAAGTAAGCAATTACTTATTCCCAAGCCAAAATATATATAGAACAAAATGTTGAGAACTTCCATGTTTGGAGCTGATTGATCCAAAAAAAGACAACTCTGTAAGGCAAAAACTCTTACCGCCACTTTCTCCTCCTCAGACTGGCATCTTAAGTGCATATCTACTACATGAGTATGCATATGCAGTCTAGCATTAATAATAAATTTATAGCAAGCAGTTTTCTTGCCATGTTAATCAGCATTTTATTGTTACTATACAGTAATAAAAAAGTGTTTCTGATATTTTGAAGTTGGTTTTAATATCCCTCTTTATTGATTTTTCCTAATGTAGACTTGATCAACCTGCTCTCTTCAGGAGCAAAATGAATTAAATTGTGTCTCCATTTGGTTGATAATAGCAGATACTTTATGCTCTCCAATGAAAAAGCAAGTACAGCAGAAATACATAGGAATGTGGGCTCCACCAGAAGCAGAGATGTTTTCCAAGCAAGGAGTTTCCTGATGCTCCAGAGAAGCTGGAATATTTTGCCAGTTGTAAAACGCCAATGTTGGTCATCTCCATTTGCCAAGATGATCATCAAAAAGTGGATTGTGACTACAACATGGTAAAGATAACTCTGGCACAATCCTGTATAATTAGCATACTTGAAAATCAATATAGACATCATGAAATTGGCTGTAGAATTTGACATTGGAAAATGAAACATAATCATGCACATTGTTCTCTTACCATTTGCCTATTTTTATCAAATGTATTATTAAGAACAGTAATCAAATCTTAAGAACAGTTATGGAACATTTTAAAAAAGAGATATGAAAGTTCTGAATTGTAATTTATATCTTGAAATGAATTTGAATTGAGCCCAGAAATCTATAGTACATTCATTCAGGTTATAGTGAACCAAGTTTTCTATAAATTTGGATTTTATGTTTGAATATGCAGTGGAGCTTATGAGATGTTGTTTTCCAGGAATGAACAAATGTTGCTATTAGGACTCAAAACACTGATTTAGAGGTCCCACTTTTTTTATTCTTTGTGCAGGATTTTGTCTCATTTATTATCTCTCCAAAATTATTAATAGCTGCACAGAGTGATCAGCCACTAGATGTCTCTACATGCTACACCAAACTTCAGAATCAGGGAAGGTGAAATTTACAATCAACAATAGGGACAAGTTGTGGGTTAGATTGCTGAATGCTTGTTCTTTTGCAAAGCTGTTTTGTTTTAGTGAGCAATGTCTTCTTTGTTAGTTGCAACACAGCTTTTATTTTTGGTATATGTTCTTTGTTTATTCTCTTGAGATGATTATAATTTACAAAGCTAGCTGGATTATAACAATTAGTAGCGCAATGCGTGTACAGTGGGCTGTATGTCCAAGTAAGTAAATATTGTATGGCAACATTTCTGATAATCTTGTTGGATAAAATCTTGTCTGTGCTCACAAAATATAAAAAATATTGGAGCAGCGAGGTGGCTCAGTGGTTAAGATGCTGGGCTTGTCGTCTGGAAAACTGACAGCCCAGGTTTGAGACCTGAGCGCCATGCGACGGGCTGAGCTCTCATCCTTGCCCCACTCTTGCTAACCTAGCAGTTCAAAAGCATGCATGTGTGAGTAGATAAATAGATATCACTCCAGTCGGAAGGTAACATCGCTCTGCGATGTCATGCTGGTCACATGACTTTGGAAATATCTTCAGACAGCAATTGCTCAATGGCCTTGAAATGGAGATGAACACCACATATAGTCAGCAACAACTAGTGGAGTAAAATCCGTAGGGACCCCTTTATCTTTACCTTTTGTTCAAAAATATATACATATCTGCTGGTTCAGCAAACTCTGCTTTGTTCAATATCTCTTATCTGTTCCATCACTGTTCCATCATGACTGCTTACCAAGTCTTTTATGAATCCCTTTCTCTAAGTACTGTTATTCTCAAATGTTACAAAGAGAAAAGATGGTGATATCTGTATTAGGCATGTATTTTGATTGGTATCCTCTTTTTTATAAAGTATTAATACCACTTTATAACGCCTTGGTAAGGCCACACTTGGAATACTGCATTCAGTTTGGGTCACCACGATGTAAAAAAGATGTTGAGACTCTAGAAAGAATACAGAGAAGAGCAACAAAGATGAATAGGGAACTGGTGGTTAAAACATATAAAGAACGGTTGCTGGAATTGGGTATGTCTAGTTTAATGAAGAGAAGGACTAGGGATGACATGATAGCAATGTTCCAATATCTCAGGGGCTGCCACATAAAAGAGGGAGTCAAGCTATTCTCCAAAGCACCTGAAGGCAGGACAAGAAGCATTGGATGGAAACTAATCAAGGAGAGAAGCAACCTAGAACTAAGGAGAAATTTCTTGACAGCTAGAACAATTAATCAGTGGAACAACTTGCCTCCAGAAGTTGTGAATGCTCCAACACTGGAACTTTTTAAGAAGAGACTGGGCAACTATTTGTCTGAAATGGTATAGGGCAGTGATGGCGAACCTTTTAGAGACCAAGTGCTCAAAAACTGCCCCACCCCCTGCCCTGCTCCCTCACCCCGCCCACCTGCAGGGCCACTTACTGCCTCCATGGCCTGCCACAGATCACCCATGCAGCCCAGCAGCACCATGGTGACCATGCCCTCCACACTCCACGCATCATCTGTGTGTGACAGGGCGTGAGGGTGGAGTCTTGCCCCCACTGCCTGGCTGCCATATGCTTGGCTGTGCTGCTCCACATGGTCCATGCCCGGGGGAGACTCTCCTCCAGGGGGGATGCTGGTGAGGAGGGGGCTGTGGGGGGAAGCAGGGCTGGGGCAACAGCACGCGTGCCCACAGAGAGGCTCTGAGTGCCGCCTCTGGCACTCATGTTGTAGTTCACCACCACTAGTATAGGGTTTCCTGCCTGAGCAAGGGGTTGGACTAGAAGACTTCCAAGGTTCCTTCCAGGTCTATTATTATTGTTGTTGTTATTTTTATTTAGTTGCAAGCAAAACATATTCACTCTGGACATTGTATTCATTATTTCTGTAGATCTTTAAGTTCCAAAACTTCAAAGAATTAGGGTCAGCTAAGACATTATCAAAACCTAGTGATGTCTCTCTGTTGCTTTCCATCCCTCCTCAGAGTTAGGAATTGGAGGCACTATTTTCCTCCTTTCTCTTTGGTTGGTTCCAGTCAGTGATTTTAGGAGGGAAACGGTCAAGGTGGTCTGGGCACCATCCTCTTCCTGATCCTGTTTAACATCTATATGAAGCCACTGCGTGAGGCCATCCACGGACATAGAGTGTGATATCATCAGCATGATCATAAATTCTTCAAATGATAAATTTTGGATAACACAGCCAATAACTCAAATGGCTGCAACCCATGTAGTCTTATATTCCCAGATCTGGACAAGTACTATAAAAATACCGAGGCCCTAGTTTATGTATTTCATAGTGGCTTCTAATAGCTTCTTCAGACCCAAAGTAAGTAATGCTCTCATAAAACCAATTAGAGGCATGTCTCATATAAATTAGCTCTCCTTGCTTGAGTGCATTATTAATCAATATGAAAAAACATATTGGATTCACTGGTTGTGTTTTGTTACATTACAGGTCGTTCCACCTTTCCAGTTGAAAAGTGTTACATGGAAAATGACTCTATAGATATTTGGAAAAAAATCTTGTGTAAAACCTATACAATATCATTTCATGACAGTTTCATAAGCCACTAGAGTAAATCTTGTTGTGTTTCTTATACTGCAGCACAGCTGATCATACTTTCATTCTGCACCAAAAAAAAAAAAAAATTCTGACATTTACAGAAAAAACTTATAGGAACACCACTAATGCATTTTCATTTTCCATTCTTTACACCTAAGCTTTATGCACTTTAATTCAGCACAACAGATGAACCAATAAATTAAATAATTAAATAAATAAGACAACTAGAACACAGCACTTCCTTGAAATTAGAAGTCAGTCTAATATATGTGAACATTCATGAGTGAGCAATAATAATAATAATAATAATAATAATAATCCAGCTGTGAATGAATGTAAGGGGGAAAATTCTCACCCATTATAGTATTTTTCAGCTATTAACTAGTTTCTTACAAGAGCTAGTGTTTCTCTAGCAATGTATTATAAACTCATAATCCCATCAAGAGATCTGGTGACAACAACAACAAAAAAAATAACGAACGAGAATTGTGAAATAAAATCGAGTTCTTTATTACACTATTGTGTCCCAGGAGGGTAATATAACACTTTAATTATGGTCATTTCAAGATTATTATTTAGCATTACTACAAAGAAAACTCTAATTAGGTTCAATTTCCAACATCTTTCAGATATGTGTTCCAAATCCATTTGAAATTATCTGTTTTAGAACATAATTTACAGGAGATAATTGGTGCAATAAAGTAGGGTGTAATAAAAATACATTTGTGCCATCATATAAATACCGAATCCATTTTCTATATTTAAAATGTTTATAATTTTAAAAAACTCACTTAAAATAGTTTATTCACTGTAGAATACTATACGGATGTGAGCTTCTGTTCTACATTAATAATGCCATATGCCTAAGTAAAAATAAACACCTTTTGACCATTCCTAATCCTTACAATTGAGAAAATTATCTCCAGCATCTTTTGGGAGAGGAGATAACAGTTTACTTATTTAAGAGTTAAATTGGTATCAGTCCAGTACAGATCAGATTTATAAATATATAGGCTAGGATATTTTCTCTGAGGGAGAGGGGGGTTCAAAAACGTGGAAAACAAATAAAAATAAATAAATATAATTCCTATATTTCCAAAGGACATACAGTATGATATATGAATGGATGGATGCTCCTCAAACACAACTTTTATGTTCTGAATGTCTATACTATTGTTAAAGACACAGAGGGCCTGTTTATGCAGTTGATCCCTTTCCCTTTTGTGAAAGTCATGCAAATGAATGAGACCTTTGCACAACTAGGCAATCAAAGTATAGGCTGCAATTCACATAGAACTGCACAAAGGTTTATTGTATTCAGGAATGACAATGGAATTTCCAATGCAACATTTTCTCTGTTCCTCAATCCTTCTAAAGCATTTTGAAGCTGACTTGCAATCACTTTCTCTCCTGCCAAGCTACAGAGGTTATTCTAAATCATCAATAGGAGAGCATCAAGAAGATTGTTCAAATGGCTCTTCAATAATTAAAAATATATTTCCCTGAAATATAAATGACTAGAGCCACACTTAATCTATGTTGATTTAATGGAAACATTATTCCTAAACATCCAAATTGCCTTGCCACCTTTCCCTCATTGCATTAATGAATCTGCCACATGTCTGCCCAGTGAATAATCCCACGAGATTTACAAGCCATCCCCAACACTGAGTAAATTTATCCTGATTTTCCTTTACAGTGTTTTGTCCTGCTTTGCTTTGCAATCCATAGGCTGGGAGTCAAAGGCTGTAATGTGAAGCCAACCTCTCCAGCTGAAAAACCAAGTGTGAGAATGATGTATCTGAACACACATGTCACCTGATGCAGCAGTGTTTTCCCCTGTTTATTGAGCAGCCAGATTACAGCCCACCTTTACCTCCATGCATTTCTTACATTTACCACCAAATTCCAGAAAGTGGCATGAGAACTCCAGGTACAGATCCAAAGTTTTCCTTACATGTCATGGGGTTCAGTAAATATCTCCAAAGGAGAAATGATAACGAAGAATCCAGGAGCAATGAAGAGTTTTCCTAGTGATCAAATGGACCATCCACAAGCTTTACAGAACCGAAGCACTGGAAAAAGAGTTATAGCAAGGTTGCAAAATATGGATTTGGCTTCAGAAGAAGGAAAAAAGAAGTGATCTAAAGAGTGTCCATGCTTGTGGGATGGGGAATATTAACTAAACCATGATTAGTGTCAGGCACAAAAGACCAGGTCCACAAGTGAAGGTTCAATTAAACTGATTTATTGCTAAAAGCCTATAAAAGAAATCTTCTCAACTAATCATCAGCATCTGGTTAGAATTAGACTAGAGTCAATGGTATCCAAGGGAGATTAGACTTAGTTTGCTTGTGGCTACAAAGGGATTCTAGGCTGATTCCCCCTTTTCACTCCACCCCCATGTTCTGCCATTCCTTCTACAATTACTGTATGCAGTAGTGTTGTTCGTCCATCGATTTCGATGAAGACCTTGACATCTTGCGGGTTATGGGCCATCAACGATGTGTCCGTAGGTGGCTAATAAGACCGATGTTAGCACGGAATGTTCTGCCACATACTGAACAAAGAAATGTAGACACTGTTACTTCAGCATTTGCAGCTCTGGCTTTGTGGAGTGCTCGCTTTTCTTGTGCCAAGATTGTCCTTCTATGTTCATATGTCTGGCAACCCTGGTACACCAAGGTGCGCCATATCAGTCGATCATACGCCAGAAGTTCCCAAGAGATGGTGTTAATATCTAGGGACTTAAGAGAGGCTTTCAATGTGTAGTAATGGCAGTAGTAATGGTACTTAGAATGACCACCAGATGGCGGCAAAGAGATAAAGAAACCTCCAACTCTTTGCAGCCCAGATTTGATAGGTTTAACCATGGTTTAATTAATTAACCCAGTATCTTGAATTCATACAATCTAGTGAACCACAAGCTAGCTAACTAGATTACATTTACATTCATTTGTTTATATTTCACATTTCTGAACCACCCATCTCCCTCAAAGAGATGTTTTACTTCATGTTTAATCACTGTTCACTAAATTAAACGAATTGCCTTGATTCACCTAGAGCAGTGGTTCTCAACCTGTGGGTCGGGACCCCATTTGGGGTCAAATGACCATTTCACGGGGGTCGCCAAACAACGCAGTCCGCCATTTCCCCCCCCCCTTTTCCTTAGCTGTGCTACTCCCTTTTATTCTATTGGCTTTTGAAAGCCAATAGAATAGACTCTCTTGAATAGAGTCTAATTCTATTGCTTTCAAAAGCCAATAGGAATTGTCCAGGCTGTCTCTGCCCTGCTGAGCCCGCCAAAAGTCCCATTCTGCAAATGGTGCTGCACCAGTTGAGTAGTCCTCGACTTATGACCGGTTGAGTAGTCCTTGACTTACGACCGGTTGGGGGTCGCAGCATTAAAAAGGTTGAGAACCACTGACCTAGAGCCATATTCTAATGATATCAGCTTAGTCTGCATTATACAAGTAATAAGGTGGACTAATATTTGATTTGGTGTGTTATGCATGACCAAGCTAAATGCAATACTATGTAAATAGCTATTCTGTTGCCAGTTCTTTAAACTGAATACAAGCAGACATGGGAACAGCAGATTTATAACCTTAGGAGGGAAGTAAAATGTTTTAATCCTTCAATGTTACTGTGGACCTAATTCAGTCTGGATCACATGCCGGCTGTTTGTTTTAGAAGGAAAATTGCCCTCTAACTCAATGGAAATATGCTTTCCAGTTAAAAGCAGCTGGTAAAGAAGAACAAATCTGATTTAAGGCAGAATTACAGCAAGAGAAGTATGGTTAAAATCCTATTTTCTCATTAAGGTTGTAATCCAGATTAGCAGACCCATGCCTGCTATTTACACAAATATTGCAAACAATGAATTACCCATTTAGGTCACATTTGATTTGATATCTGCTCAGAAGCTGTGGAAAACAGGAAGCAAAAGGCAGAGATTTTGAAGCATTTAGAGCTAGAGTAAATACAAACTATTCTGTACACATTGTATGTATTGCAAATTTTCTAAAGTGATTTGACAGAAATAACTGTTAAAAACAGTAGGAACTTTTACACAACTGCAAAAGGTTCTCTGGTACAGATTCTTAAAATAATAACATTCCAATGAAAACCTTTAAGATTGGTACTGAAAAGACATGCCCTAAAATGGATGTAACAGAATGGAATAAATTCCTTGACTCATTGTGATAGTTGCAAAGTTACAAATTCATTTTTTTTTTAAAAAAAAAAAATCTAACACATGAATGTTTATAGCGTTTCTTTTCTCTCGCAGGAAATCCCAGTTTTATTCTTTGTTGGGATAGGTTCTCTTACAACCTGACAGTGTTCTTTTAATACCCTCCTTTGTAAATCTGTTACAATCTTCTAAATACTACCCAGCTGATTACAAATAGTAAATGTTTGTAGATATATCTGTAGCAGCACAGTTAAAAAAGCTCTCTGTTCTGTTTTCTTCCATTCTTGCCCCTGAAAGGCTAAAATATCTCTTTAACAACAATAGCAATATAGGATTCAAAGGAAGAGAGAGGGAGGCAGTGGCAGATTTTGGTGATTGTTGGACCCATTTCATAAGTCAAGTGTTTCCCCCAGGGCTGCCTATATAATCCCAAGTCCCTTGGCAACGTCCGGAGCCCTCTCCCCCAATTCGTTGGCAAGCAAATGTAAACTGTAAGTTGGAGAACAGATGTAAACTATGGTGTAAGCTTTAAAATAGACAGATGTTAGAAAAGTTAAACTGTCCCCAAAGCTCTGCCATAAATTTCAGTTCCTGTCATACACTGGTGTGTTCCCATGCATTTATTGACTCTCAGTTGCTCTTCCCATGTTACTACAACTCTTGCCAATCAAAACATTGCACGTCTTTATCCTAACTGGAAGGAACCAAGTCCAGAGCGTGACTCATACTAAGATGCAGTCAGCACCCCTTTGAAGACAGATGATGGCAGTGAGGCTCCTTTTTTAGACTGAAATATCCACCTTCAATCCATCTGAATGGGCAAAGGAAAGGTCAAAGCAGTGTAACAGTCTGAAAGCATTCTTTTTTCATGGGTGCAGAGATTCATAAACTAATTTACTTATTTCATGGCACATGATTTGGGAATTTCTGCTTTTGTGAGGCTGTCTTCTTCGGTAAAATGCTATGGAAAAAAATATCAGGCTAGATGCATAAATAAACTGGCCTGGCATAGTCTTACGTTTCCACTTAAGGTTTCCTTTGAGTCTTCTCTTTGTAAACTGGTACTTTTCTTCATATGAGCTAAAGATCTGGTGGCAATAAAAAAAAATATAAGAAAAACAGCAATATGTGCACCATGTTTGTCACCCCACCTCTTCAGTTACATGATCATATACCATTGTACAATTGTGTCAATTCTTTGAAGTAAGCCAGGCCAAAAACAGATTAGACAAGAACTGTTAGAATTCTCCATTACTGCTATAGGATATAATAAAAGAATTTTCAAAGACTGACCAAGTTTTTCTTTCCCCCTATTACACAAAAGAAAATCAAAGTGGAGCAATGTTGAGTTTCTTTCTCACTCCTTCCATTCCTTCAGGGCTAAGATGATGCTTACATAACCAGTCTTGCATTCCTTCCAATCCTCTACAAATAGAGACAATTAATTTCAAATTTAATGTGCTGTGCAAGACAATTCTTTGACAATTCTGAGAATGCAGCCCTATAGCTAAAATGTGGAGCTGGGAGACCAGTGTTTCCCAGTTGAAAGGAATTCTTACAGCAATCCCATCTCCAGCATTCTCAGCTGTTCCTCCTTCACACTGGATTTGAGGTGCCATAACACCCTTTAACTGTCTTTTTTTAAAAAATAAAGGGTACCATTTATATGTTTATTGACTTATTGATTTGCAATTCAATTAAAATAGACATACACTTAAATCACAATTAAAATCATCATTAAAAGCATAAAATAAAACTCTGACACAAATTCTGTCCCAACTGGGTCTCAAAAGTCTGATGAAAGAGCTCTGCATTTACAGCCTTAATGATGTACAGTATAATGGGCCTCAGTAGGGAGACTATGCAAAAACCTGGGAATTACTGTACCACTGAAAAACATTGATTCCAATTTCCCACTTCTCTCTCATGGGTGAGGCCTCCCAACACTCCCAAATGATAAGATAAGATTACCAGAAACCAATGCAGTATCCACAACACAAGCATTACCTTGCAATGTAAATTAAGTACAAAGTTGAAGCAGCAGGGTGCTAACTCACTGATAAGTTTTATGCTGTCCTGTTGTTCAGAGAAAGTCCATAAGAAGCAGAAAAAGCAACAGCATACAAGGATAGCTGCAGAATGCTCTGAATTGATTTACGAGGGATTTCTGGGTAAAGATCTGCTAGGTAGAATTGTCCCTATTGGTGCTATTCTTGGTTTATTATGCTTTGATTAAATATTGCACTGTTTGGCCTTTAAACATTTGATATTCTAGACTATCATGTCAAATCTAAAATGACTAAGAGAATCCTATATTGGGGGGGGGCGGGGGGGAGAGAAACCTCAGATTTTTTATGTTGGAGATGATATAGGCAGAAAAAGTAGGATAGTTCATTAAATTCCAGAAGCACCTCAATGCAAATTAAATGAAAATGATTTCAGATGCTTGCTAATATTAGATACGTGGCTATAGCTAATCATTTTTTTCTAATATTTTTAAAGTAATCAGGTGTGTTTCAAGTGCTTTGATGAAAACTAGATAAATTGTATCTAATGCATTACCACAATCTATTAACAAAGTTATCTAATTAGTTGGTACTTTTGTTCCTGTCTCCAAAACCTGGCACAAAATCAGAAAAGACTTCAACTTTTGAAATGCATCAATACCGCCATTGGAGGGTGTTAGAAATGACTGAACTGAAACAAAATTCTGTTATAGTAATTTTTCATAGATGTTTATGAAGATTCTCAATCATCCAGGTCATGGTTGTGCCAAAGGTGCATTTCAAAAGGCAACTGGATTTTGTTTTTCCCTTGAAAATGTTTTGCTTCTCATCCAAGAAGCTTCTTCAGTTTGGTTCAAAGAAAAAGAAAACCCAGTTGCCTTTTGAAAAGCACCTTTGGGATTTTCATAGATGTAGTTGCTAAGATTGTAAACAACACTGAACTTGTAAACTTACTAAAAGGCTTGTTTAGAAGGTTAGCTTTCCTATTCTATCATACAAAAAAGTAGTGTGACAATCAAGACATTATTGAATTTCACTACATGCCCCATCAAGGCCCTTGGCAACAAGAATGGCAGTTTAGCAATATCATAATGGAAGTATGATTTGTGCACTTGAGGATTGCCAACTTTTTGATTAGTCACAATTGCTAACCAATGGCTTGAGCAGTTAGCATTCTAATAATTAGTGAACAACCCTACTTCACTTTTAGGTCTTTAAAACACTGATAATTAAACTATAAGGCCTCTTTCATTGCCCCAAACTATTGTAGATCTTTACTTTTTCATTAACCATTTTGTTTCTTTTTTGGTTGAATTCTAAAGGCAGCGTCACCATATTTTGTTGCTTGCCAGCACTAGATGCTTACGGTACTTAGGGATGCTAAAATATGTAATTGCTGTAAAAATATCTGTCCTCTAAAATGAAAGCTCCTACTGTGAAATTCCCCTCTACCTTTGTTGAACCTGATCCAGCTCATTCAATAGGCTGTAGCTAGCTTGTTATTATAGGTTGCAAGAGCTTAAGCATTTGCTGTAATGCAAGAGAATGGAACAAGTTTCTATCAAACATTTCACCATACGGAATGCTCTGACTTGCATTATCTCATGAAGAATGATTCTTCAGGAAAATATCAACAATACACTATCATTTTCTCCTACCATATTCTCAACCACAGGTTAGCTATAGAATATGCAAAGTATTACTCATTCCAGATAATTCCACTCAGACTGATTTCACTTCAGTTTAAGATTTATGCTTTTTTAAAAAAAAATTAGTAAAAAATTGCAAATACAGGAGTCAAAATTATCAGTGAAAATCCTTCACACATAAACCAAACATTTGCTATACTTATTGAGTAACTGCAATAGGATGTCTTTGTAAGGCTTGAAAATCCTTTTAACTGTCTCTTGACTCTTATTTATCAGGACTAATTTCAAGAAACCCAATGTAGAGTCTATGGCTCCTAACACCTCCTAACTGTGGAGTCTTTTAGTGCTCTCTGAAGTTGGTGGTTTTCTTGAAGATGTTTCATTACCAAACTAGGTAACATCATCAGTGCTAGCAAACATCTGCGAGGAAAGAATTGAGCTCAGAGAGCACCAAGGAGCCCACAGTTCAACCCTGAAACCTGAACCTTGAACTACAAATATTATCTTGTATCAGAACCTCCTAATTACCAAATTTGCTGTCTAGGGATGATGGCCAAGAGAGTAGAAGCTATGCAGCTGCAGTCATTCTTTAAAGAAACATATTATCTGATTCATTCAGGTTTTGATTCAGGCCTGGTCCAGGAGCTGAATCAGCCTTGGACCCTCTGATATCCTTAACGGTAATATCAGATGTGGGAGTGCAACTTCCTGGAACTCTTGGTGATTCCATTATATCCTTCTTGACTAGCTCTTTGTGATGGGAACCACAGTTATTCAACTTCCTGCAGGGCTATGTCCAGAGGATAGTACTGGGTGATTGTGTTTTAGCTCAATGGCTGTCCAGCCTGCTTTGGTATTGTGTTCTATGTTACAGGGTATTTACGTTGTTCATGGTTTCAGCATCTTTTTAGAGTTTGTAATTAATTATCAATATGAGTTTAACTGGTTTTAATTTTATAAAGGTAAAATGTGTGTTGCTGTTTTTAATGATAAAAAACAAAAATGTGACCAGATAAAGTTATTTTTAATATTTTGCATACCATCCCTGTTTCATGAAACCTACTTATATTTCCCAGTGCTCCTTAATCAACATATTGGCTATTACTAATGTATGTACAACTGGATTATGGTGAAGAAATCAGTAATAAGAGCTTGGAAAGTCTGGCAGAAAGCTACTGGAAGGTTGATTATATCTGAAATTTCACTGAATACAATTCTCCAAATTCTGTCTATCTTCATATTACTCATTTGCTGTGGTAAAAAGGCCTCTTTGTGTAACCTCTCAAGAAAGTGGAAAAAAGAGAGAATAATCTAAAAACCAATCCATCACCTTAGCTTTCACATGTTGGATAGGTTTCAATAAAATAAAATATAGCAAAAAACAAAAACAAAAACCACCCCTTCCAATAGTACAGAACATAATAAGCAAAAATTTTAATAGGGCAAAGATGTTACAGATTTTTAAGGTGAAATATTGGCAGCTCTCACAATGAAGTAGATATATGATTTTGTTTGTATTGATAAAACAATGCATCTTTTCAGGTAATATCATGGTTTTTTTAAAAAAGATCTGATGAAAACAGGGTAGCCAAAAAATGCTCTCCTCTCCCTTCAAACTGGCTTACTGCAGGTCCAACGTGTGTACTAGTGTTGTTCTGTTCCAATGACCTTCGCATCCTAAGCAGCTTCTCATGACATCACAATAATGCTTTGGCTTAAAGGAGGCTCAGTTAATTTGGATGTGTCTATTTTCAGCCAGCTGTCATTGCAACTCTTACACAAATATAAGGAAGAAAAGAGAACCAGATGTCTCTTGTGCAAAGTTCTTTGAATGCTGGGCATCCCCCACCTCCAGTTTTTGAAGCATTAGGGACAAACATGAAATCGATTCCTGAAGAACCTATTCAAATGGACCTTCTGAATGTTGGACCTTCTGAATGCTGTGCAGGTCTCACCATTTTTTTCCCTTTGTCCTTTTAGTTTTGCTATGGATGTGTTGTTATGTCAGTATTCTTTAACTCATAGTCTGCTGAATATTTTTAAGAGTGTTTAGATGATGACCTTGTGGCTTGAGGACATTATACTGAATATCATTTTCATTTGCTATTTCTACATAGGATAGGTAAAAAGAGGGTCATTTCCAAATATATATTGCATTTCTTTTCCCCCTTCCATGAAAGTGCTTACAAAAATATATATAATCAAAATGGATTACCTGTGCAATTTAATCAATACTGATTTGTGACTGAAATGAACTATTTAGAAATTCAGCTGCAGCTGTACTCATGTAAATATCTTCAAAATGATTTTAGATGCATGCATCCAAGGTAAGGTGACCAACCGTCCTCCTTTAGGGAGGACAGTCCTCCTTTTTTAAGGTCTGTCCTCCCTCAAAAAATGTCCACCTACATGTCCTCCTTTTCGATATTTGAAGACTAATCTGCAGGACTTTTTTTTCTCATAGAATGCTCAGAATGGCATTCCGGCACCTTTTTTGATGGTTTTTTTTCACCTTTTGCATGAGCTGTGCTACTCCCCCTATTGGCTTTTGAAAGCCAATAGGAATTGCTGCTGAGCGCGCCAAATTGCTCCTGAGCGCGACCGGCAAACTTTGCATATGCAAATTGTGTGCAGCGAAGGCGAATTGGCAGGAACTTTGCACCCATGCCTGCTACCCAACTATACCATCTCCTAGTTAGTACCAAAGATACCTGGAGGAGACTGGAGCGGCGACGCCACGGTAAATTTCTCTTGATCTTCAGCCCTGCTAGGGCAATAATGGCTGCAGGCACAAGAGGCAAGGGCAGCGGGGCTTCTGCGGGCGGGAATGTGGGGGGCGGTGGCAGCCGGCTGCCCCCCCGTGCTGTGGGAGCCGCGGGGCCCGCTTTACACAGGACTATGCAGGGTGGGTGGTGGTCCTGGCGGGGCGGCTGCAGGTGGGGTGTGTTGATGGCAGGCTTCCCCCCCAGCCCAGAACAGGCACGGCTGGTGGTTTGGGAGCCGCAGGGACCATTCTGCATTTATCATATTATAGTGTATTCTGTATTATTGTTGCAACGAATAAAATGTTTCTTTTATATACAATATTTTTTTTCTTCAATTTATTTGTGTCCTCCTTTTCACTGTAAAAAAGTTGATCACCTTAATCCAAGGGAATGATTCTAAAGTCGGACTTAAAACATTACATTAGAAGAACTGGCTTGGGAAGAGATGGAAAGGGAAGGGAGGCAGGTATTTAATAATATTGTCTAATCTTTGTTATTTTTTGAACTTATCAAGCTATTTCTCTTAAGCATCATTATTTTAGAAGAAGGAGCCCTTTACATCTTGAACTGGAGGCAAGGAACAGCTTTGCTGCCTCTTCAGGATAATTAGAAAATCTGAGCATGTGTAAGCTGCCAAACTTAAATAATTTTAACTTCTTAATCTTGTTTAATAGGAAAGTTTTGTTTCAGCCTCTTGAAGCTTTTAAACTACAAGCTCTAATGAGAAAAACAAATAATTTATTACAGTTTTTTTAGTTGTATCTTATTTCTGTTTGGTTTATTAATGCATAGGGAAAGCAATTTTCTTCTCTGTCAGTGCTGAACATACGTGACCACGCATGTGTTTCAGCCACTAGTTATATAAATCTAATCTCTAGCCTTCCTGAAAGGCCATCAAGGCTTTAAGAAGTCTAGGTTCATGCTGTGACTAATCTATGCAATTTAAGAGGCTTCACTGTCTTTTCCAGTAAACTCACAGTACAATGGTAAAGGTCAACTATATACAAGAGAGACTTAAGAGAGGGAGTGTGCACACTTTTCTGAGTATCCTATTCCTGATATATAGATAATACTAGACATTTCCAGGGAGTGAGGACATTTTGATTAACTATATCAATAAATAAATATAAATATAAAAATATTTTCTAAAGGCTTAGAATAGATGAGTGTTCTAATTTAGCTTTGCTAAATCCTGTAAGATAGAATTTCTGCAGACAGAACAAAAGAAGAAGCAAAATGGCCAATATTTCACAATCTGGCAAAATTTTGGTAACCTCACCATCAGGATGTCATATGACTTCTTATAGTATGTTGTTGTTATAGTATGTTGTCAAATGTCACATTAGAAGAATACCAAAGTCTTGTAAGATTTTCATGTTCTTCACTTGAATTCTCATAAGGCCATTATAGGCAATTAATTATATGACTAATTTTGGGATTCCATAAGTTCCAGCTAGAGATTTTGGAAACACTCTGGTATTCCTATAAAATAAAAACCATATGCTATAAACAAACAAACATACAAGCAAGCAAACAAATAAACTGAATAAAAAATCTTCTCTTAAGGTTGCCTACACCTGCTATAATTGATAATTCTTTGGACTTTTGTTTCCCACACTTCATTCAGCTACAGTTATCCTAAGGCAATAGCAACATAATTTGGGGAGATTACTTTCTTTTTCTTGTTGTTATTGTTTCTAAATGATCATGCCCTTTTCTTTGTCACAGCTTATACATGACTCATAAAGAGAGAAATCAGGGGGAAATGTGTAGGGATGTTCCTTAATGGATGATCTGAACACAATAAATGGTTTAACTTTGAAGAAACAGTGGTGGTGCAGTGGTTAGAATACAGTATTGCAGGCAAACTCTGCCCACAGCCAGGAATTCAATCTTGACTGGCTCAAGGTTGACTCAGCCTTCCATCCTTCCAAGGTCAATAAAATGAGGACCCAGATTATTGGGGGCAATATACTGGCTCTGTAAACTGCTTAGAGAGTGCTGTAAAAGCACTATGAAGTGATATATGAGTCTAAGTGCTATTGCTATTGAAACAGTCCAGCCAGTTTCTTCTTTCAGTATATTTGGAATGGTCTTTCCAAGATAAAAATGACCCTTTTGGGAGTTGGGATATTATGTGACCAGTTTATACAGTCTTAAAAAGTTCATTCATATTTCATATAAAATCTAAGTCATGCTTGATTCCTGGTGTCTTCTTAGATGTGTGTATATAGCTTTCTAGGCAACACTATGGGGGTGGTTTGTCGTTTACCATTGAGTTGTTTTTTGGCTTCCCACAATCTGATATTCCCTGTGGATCACTTATTCAAGTAGTAACAAGCTTTCACTTAGCTCAGTGATGGTGAACCTTTTAGAGACCGAGTGCCCAAAAACTGGCCCCGTCCCTGCTCCCCCCCACCCCACCCCTGCTCTGCCCTTCCATCCCCTGCCCCGCCGGCCCCCAGGACCACTCACCGCCTCCAGAGCCCGCTGCAGATCGCCCAGGCAGCCCAGCAGCGCTATGGTGGCCACACTCTCTGTCCACACCCTGCAGCATCAACTGCATGATGGGGTATGAGGGCAGAGTCTTGTCTATGCTGCCTGGCTGCCATGTTTTTGGCTGCACTGCTCTGTGTGGGCCACGCTCAAGGATGACTCTCTTTCAGGGGGGCTGCTGAAGAGGAGGGGGTTGTGGGGGAGGCAAGGCTGGGACAACGGCATGTGTGCCCACAGTTCGCCACCACTGACTTAGCTTATCATTTGAAAACCAACCATGACCTACTAGATGCTTTTAAAGAGATGCAGACTCAGAAATATAGTAATTTGTAAAGCAATGCGCCTATTCTGAAATTTGGTGAATGTGTGAAGGACTTAATGGTATACAGTCATGTCCTCAGCAATCCAATCAGTTGGGTGTACTTTCAACCCATGAATACTCATTGCAAAGATCTGAAGGGGCTTCTAAGAACATTCACTTGAATTTAGCATTTCCTCATCAGACTGTTCCAAGGAATACAAAAAAGTTGGAAATGTAGTTAGTGATCTTTGGCGATGTAGCTTGATTACGGCACCCACCCCATCTCTTTTTATGCTTGAATATGCTTAGTTTCAAGGAATTTTGCAATATTTTTGGGAGAAAGTGTTTTTCATATTGCTGATTCAAATCTATCCTCTGAGGTTTTATAAAACACTTTTGTCAGCAAATTTTATACATATTTTGAGTCCATAACCCAAACCAGAAATAACGGCCACAAGCATATTTCAAAGTGATCCCTGTGGGGTTTTTGAAGTGAAAAGAAAGAAAAATCCATGTTGGGCCAACTGGAGTTGGTATCAGCATGGAGAAATTTAGGGGAATCATATCTTCCTACAACTACTATTTTTCATCTTCATGTACTGTAGCTATGAGGTGAAAATGAGAATGGTGATAGATATGAGAAGGTTGGTGAAATTAAAATACTTCTGGTTTATTTCATTCAGTGGATTCATTCTGTTTTAGAGTTTCCATAAATTCCATCCCGCAGCCCATAATCCAGTTATATATGTTACATAGAAAGTGGGTGTTTGGACTAACAGCAATTTTCTAAAATCATGTATTTTTGCATTAAAGACTAGCTTCTGAGTAATTTTCACAATCAACTAAAAACCCCCCACCTGGGACATCTTTCCAAGCTAGAATCACTAGTGATTTTGAATGAAGGTATTTGTGGGTGAGGGTTAAAAGAGGTAAAATCTATTTGAAATATGATTACTTAATCTTAAAATTAAGTAATCATATTTACAAAACATATATATGATGCTTGGATTTTCAAAGCATTTGTAAAACAACAACAAGGATTAATTAACATACTTATATATATCTGTATATTTTTGTAAACTGCCCAGAGTCATTGATTGATATGAGCAGCTATAGAATTTGAATAAATAAATGAATGAATATATTCTGAAACAAATCACACTAAGTTCAATGAGTCCTATTCCAGGGTTAGTAGATAAAGAATTAGAGCCTGAATCACTTAGTTTACTGAATTCAGAAACAGCACTGTTTAATAGTGGTAATAATAAAGTAGTAAGTAAATACTGTGTTGTTTGTTTTTGATTTCATTTCTATACAGTCAATAGTTAATGAACTTAATTTGTATATTACATAATCTCAATGTTATGTTATGGCTAATATTTGAAT